GAGTAGTATTCTATTGCAGGCATGTAGCATGTAGCATGTAGCACGGTGCCACCAGTTAATGGAGATTGGGCTAGTTTTCCATTTTAGGTTATTATGAATAAAGCTACAATGGACATTTACGTTTGTGTCTTTGTATGCTTTCATTTCTCTTGGGTCATTACCCAAACTTTTCCAAGGCGGTAATGGCACTGTATATTCCCACCAGCAGTGTGAGGGTTCCATTCGCTCCACGTCTTCACCAATACTTGTAATTTATCCATCTTTTGAATTTTAGCCATTCGAGCGGATGTGTAGTGGTATGTCATGTTTTTTTTTTTTTTTCCCAACATTGTTTTAAAGATCTAATTCGCATGCTACACAATTTGCTCAATTGAAGTGTACAGTTCAGTGGTTTTAAATATACAGTTAAGTATTGCTTAACGACAGGGATGCCTTCTGAGAAATGAATAGGTAGGTGATTTTGTTGTGCAGACATCATAGTGTGTGTTTACACACACCTGCATGACATAGCTACTGCACACCTAGGCTCTGTGGCACAACCTATTGCTCCTAGGCACAAACCTCTACAGCATGTGCATTTGTAAGACAGTGGTAAGTATTTGTGTCTCTGAAATATTTAAACATAGAGAAGGTACAGTAAAAATATGGTATAAAAGATAAAATATGGTACACCTATATAGGGCGTTTACTATGGATGGAGCTTGCTAGACTGGAAATTGCTGTGGTTGGGTCGTTGAGTGAGTGGTGAGTGAATGTGAAGGCCTAGGGCATTACTACTGTACACTACTATGGACTTTATACTTGTCATACACTTAGGTTACACTGGATGTATATTTTTTGGAGCAACTGTATTAACTGATACTACAACTTTTTTTAGAGACAAGGTCTTGCTTTGTCTCCCAGGCTGGAGTGCAGTGGCACAATTATGGCTCACGGTAGCCTCAACCTCCTAGGCTCAAGCAATCCTCCTGCCTCAGCTTCCTGAGGAGCTGGGACTACAGGTGTGTGCCACTATGACTGGCTAATTATTTATTTATTTATTTATTTATTTTTGTAGAGATGGCAGTCTTGCTACATTGCCCCAGCTAGTCTCCCAACTCCTGACCTCAAACAGTCCTCCTACCTCTGCCTCCCAAAATGTTGGGATTGCACACAGGAACTATTGCACCTGGCTCCTCCCATAAGTATGTAACCTATCTCTCTGTTACGTGTGGTGGGAGGGGAAAAAAAACCCACTAGGTAATTTATAATACCTAATACAATATGAGTGCTATGTAAATAGTTATTATACTGTATTTTTTTTTTGAAATGGAGTCTCACTCTGTTGCCCAGAATGGAGTTCAGTGGCGTGATCTTGGGTCACTGCAGCCTCCGCCTCCTGGCGATTCTCCTGACTCATCCTCCTGAGTAGCTGGGATCATAGGCACACGCCACCACGACCGACTAATTTTTGCATTTTTAGTAGAGAATGGGTTTCACCATGTTAGCCAGGATGGCCTTGAACTCCTGACCCTCCCGCCTTGGCCTCCCAAAGTGTTGGGATTACAGTTGTGAGCCACCGCACCTTGCCTGTGCTGTATTTTTTTTTTTTTTAATTTGGCCTTACTATAGCTTTTTTACATGATAAACTGTAATTTTTAAAATTTTTTGACTCTTTTGTAATACCTTAAAATACATTGTACAGCAGTATAGAAATACCTTACAGCTTTATCAGCTTTTTCTATTTTTTAATTTTAATTTTTACTTTTAAACTTAAAAAAAAAAACTAGGACACAAAGCCACACATTAGCCTGGGCCTACACGGGGTTAGGGACATCAGTATGTCACTAGGCGATAGGAATTTTTCAGCTCCATTATAACCTTATGTGATCACTGTTGTGTATGTGGTCTCTCATTGACCAAAAGGTTGTTATGCGGCATATGACTGTATTCACAGAGTTGTGCAACCGTCACCACAATTTTAAAACATTTTCATCACCTCAAAATGAAACCTTGTACCCCTTAGCCCTATTCCCCATTCTCCCACCAGCCAAGGCAGCCACTAGTCTACTTTCTTCCCTGTGGATTTTCTTTCTCTGTGGATTTTCCTTTTCTGGATATTTCACATAAGCGGATCATATAATATACGGCCTTCGTGTCTGGCTTCTTTCTCTTAGCATAATGTTTTCAAGGTTCATCATGTTGTCATCTGTATTAGAATTGCATTTCTTTTTATGGTGGAATCACGTTCCATTGTATGCACACACGCGCGCGCCCACACACACACGAAGAACCAGTATTACAAGGCTTATCATGAAAAACAACGGTCCCTTTCTTGACCCTTTTCACCCTCAATTCCTGTTCCCCAGAGGCAGCTCCTTTCACACATGTGGCTGCTTCTGCAGATAAGCTGTTCAGTGACCTCCATATTTCTAAATACTGTGGCTGTATTGCTGTTTTGGTTTTTCAGTTTCAGATATTATCTAGTGACTTTCTGATAGGGAAGTGAGAATTTCGTTTTTAATCGGCCCCTCCAAGGGCATCCCACTCCCACCTACGCGCATCTGCTGTTTGCATGGACACATTCATGTGCAGGCTCTTTCCACTCTTGATTGCAGTGTACATGATACATTTTGGTTAAATCAGTAGTTTATGTTTACATCATTATGACTGTGGAAGCTGTGTGTTAGGCTGAATCTCAGAGTGAACCATGAATGTATTTCCTTTCATGGAAAACTTTTTGTTTTCCCTGAGCTTGGCCTGGTGTCCTTTGAGTCCAGAGCTTCTCAGGCTCCAGTTATCTGAACATGGTCCCAGTGCCCCCATTGGGCACTGGGTGGCAGTGAGTGGGCACGGGCAAGGAGAGTTGCTGCCTCTTTTCAGCCTTCTACCCTCCACCCTCTGCCCTTTGCCTGCTGTCCTCTGCCCCCTGCCCCACCCCTGAGTGCTCTGGCTTCACCTGTGCCTCCTGCCCTTGAGCGGTTCTGAGCTCCGGGTTCTGAGCTCCAGATGGACTCCTCCCCACCCCAGCTGCCAGGCTTGGGTTTCCCTTTTTTTATTTATTTGCTTGATTACTGTTCCCCAGACAGCTCTTATCTACTCTTTATTTTTGTTGGTTTATGTCTTTTTGTTTTCCTTTACTGTCATTTTATTGGAGTTTTGGGGGTCAAGAGAAAAGCATGTGCGCAGTCCACCAGATTTAACCAGAGGTCAAAAACCTTCCATTTTTATTGTCTAAATATTATTCAGTTAAGGATTCCCCCTCCTCATCTTAGTCCCCAACTGCCTTTACTGAATCTTTAGTGTCTCCTGCCTCACTTATTGCAGTAGTTCCTGACTGACCTCCTCGTCCTGGACCGGTGACCTGCCCACGACCCCTCCCTCACACCTGTCCTCATACCCCAGAGCCCACAGGACAGGGTCCAAGCTCATTAGCTTAGAAAGTACAACCCTTGGAATCACATAAATTCTTTTTTTGTTGCTGGTCTCCTAACTTGCATTCATTCACTCAGTCATACAAATGGCGTATGTTTTCCCAAAAATGTCACGCTCTTTGCTGCACTGTGCTTGAGGGTGTGCTCTGCTTCCGGGTGGAAGATCTGTGCCCTCCCACGTCTGCCTCCTTGTCAGAGTTGAGTCTGGTGATGGTTTCTGACCTGAAGCTTTCTCTGAACCATACTCGTTTTGCAACTTTTTGCTGCTTTTCTGCCAGTTGTACTTCTCTGGTTACAATTACTACACTGTATTCTTTTTTAAACTTGTACATTTTTGCAGATTTCTCTGATGCCTGGCTTATTAGAAGACAGTTGCCTTCTCATATCTGCCTCTGCATTCAGTGTATTGGGATAGCACATGTCATTTTGCTTCTGAAAACTCCACTGCATCGTATATTGAGGAAATAACGCGAGACACGAAAAGAAAATCATGTGTTAGTGTTGTTATAAAGATAGTATTGACTCTGCACACCCTCAGAAGGGGGTCAGGGACGCCAGGGTGAGATTCACTACCCTAGTGTTACTTACCACACTGCATAGACCATACTGTACCATATAGAGGCACATATTTCTGAAACTTCCTTCATTCCTAATATATTTTGTAGAAATTTCTGTATCAATATGGATATGTGTTTTTTTATTGCAGTATACTTTATTTTTTCAAATAACTGTGTGTTAGATGTTGAACAGTGATAGGCCTGTGAGGGATAGTTGGAGAGGTGAATAGAGGCCTTATTATAAAAACACTTAAAGAGCGAATGAGTGAGAATATGCTCTAAACATGGGAGTGACAGAAGGTTTTTATCTGGGTTGGGGAGAAATTTAAGATTAATATTTCAGTAATGTAGGAGTGAATTAGTAGAGGAGAAACAAACAGTAGGGCAGGAGATCATTTAGAAAATCATAATTATTTAGACTTGAGTGACAAAATGCTAAGAAGGGATGAGGGTCACAGGAATCCAGAGATACGAAGGTGGACAGGAGAAATGGCAGGTGTGGCCACAGGGCAGGAGGAGGAGGTTTGGCAATGCGGAGCATTGGTTGCACACCCAGGCCTTGGGGCTGACGGTGGTGCTGTCTGGACAGAAAAACAAAAAGGACAACCTAATTTTGGAGGAAAGAGATGTCTTCTGACTTCAATTTCTTTACATCCCTTCTACCTCTAAATTATCTGTTTTATGGCCTGTTTACTATTAAATGATCCATTTGATAGCATTTATTCATACCTTTATGAGTCTGTGCACTAATAATTTTGAAGTATGCTACAAGTCAAAAATTGTTGCATAAAAATTGTACTTCCTTTACCTGCCTCCTGCTTCTCTTATACTTAAACACCAGATAGAGATGATTTTGGAAAGTTTGATTTATACTGACTTTTGTATTTGCTGTTGTATTTATTTTTTTTAAGTCTGTTAAAATGACTTAGGTATGGATTTTTTAAATTGCTAATACATGTGCAGATTTAGTGCTGTGTCAATGTATAATAGAAACAAATACTCATTAGACTACCTTAATTTAATTACACAGATGCAGGACAGCTGGAGCACACATTGATGAATCATTGTTCCCTGCAGCTAATACGAATGAACACTTACCAAGCCTAATTAAAAAAAAAGTAAGTACATGATTTCAATGTAGATAATGGCAATTAGGAATTTATTCATTTTTATTTTTTATTTTTAGAAAATAAAACTTCTAGAAATATGTTCAAGAGTTGTCTTAAGTATGCTATTGATGATATTATTCTTTTCACATAGCATTTTTTAGTGAATTACAGAGATTATTTTATCCTATGACTTCTTCGATAGCGTTTGTAGGAAATGGAAGAGACTGTGGTTGGCCATGGGAAAACTAAAAGGTGCCAAGAGACAAGCAAACGTTTAGGTGCTTTGGTAATTACTTCAGAATGAAATGTGTTATATCTGTAGTCAAAATACCTGCATTCTGTTTAGCCAGAAAAATCTCAAAAGTCTGATGGACGTACATCCAAGTGTGCAAAGTCATTTATGAGGAAAATCTGCTGTACAAATACAGTTGCCCTTCAGTATCCACAGAGGATCAGTTCCAGGACCCCCACAGATACCAAAATCCACTGATGCTCAAGTCCCCTATATAAAATGCCATAGTATTTGCATGTAACCTACACAGATCCTCCTGTATACCGAAGAAAAAATTGTTTGTAGAGACGGGGTCTTTCTGTGTTCCCCAAGCTAGTCTCAAACTCCTGGCCCAAGTGATTCTTCCGCCTCAGCCTCCCAATTGGGATTACAGGCGTGAGCCACTGCACCTGGCTCCTCCCGTGTACTTTAAGTAATCTCTGGAGTACTTAAAATACCTAATACAATGTGATTGCTTTGTAAATAGTTGTTATACTGTATTTTTTTTAATTTGTGTTAATTTTTTTTTTCTTTTGAATATTTCCAATCGTGACTGGTTGAATCCATAGATCTGGAACTTGCAGATACGGAGGACAAACTGTAGAGTTAAAGATACTGCTTTCATTTGAGATCGAATTCACATTTTAACCACCACCTTTTCGGCTTTCTATTTCTGATTGTGATTTCTTTATCTGAGGAGAGTTTACTCTGAAACGCCACAGCCAGGTTGTCTTCACATGAGCGTCTCTGTCAGAGGGAGGATTTGATGACTGTCTCCAAACTGAACTTGACATTTCCTGTAGACCAGAGGAGAAATAACTGTGGAGAAATAACATTTCCTGAAAACAGTAAATGATATTTCCCCATTACATTTCATCTCAGACAAGCCATAGTTTGCCCATGCGGTGATGGATGAACTTCCTTCAGTCTTACCTGATTATAAGTGAAAAAGTGTTCAGCAGTCTCTGGACTCCCTGTGACATGCTAAAATCAAGTGTTTATTGTAAAAGCACATCAGTAGTACATGCATATTTTCATTGTAAAACATTTAGTAAACACAGACATCTCTTTGATTGCCCTCCCTCAAAGTAAGCGGCTTTCAATTTGATGAGTATCCTGGGTGGCATTTCTTCAGTACATTACACACATGTACACACACATGCATGCTTGACATGAAGGGGCTCTGCTATCTTACATGTATCGTCTGGTGAGTTGTCTTCTCTTCCCCAGTTAACAATATAGTTTTGACCATTTCGTGTCAGTAGCTTTGACTCTACTCAGTTTTCTGTATTGCATTATACATTGTGACTGTGCTTTTCCGGTATTCATGTACTTTTAGTCACTGTCAGTTTTTGCTAAGTATATTACTTATGCCACATATTTGAGTTTATTTCTCCAAGTCAGATATCTAGAGATAAAATTACTGGGTCAGAATACATACACATTTTGATTTTAACAGTTCCACCAATCATATGCAAGATGACCTATTTCTTGGCCAGATACAGTGGCTCACACCTGTAGTCCCAGCACTTCAGGAGGCCGAGGCGGGCAAATCAGTTGAGGCCACGAGTTTGAGACCAGCCTGGCCAACATGGCAAAACCCCGTCTCTACTAAAAATACAAAAATTAGCCAGACCTGGTGGTGCACACCTGTAATCCCAGCTACTTAGGAGGCTGAGGCAGGAGAATCGCTTGAACCCAGGAGGTGGAGGTTGCAGTAAGCCCAGATCGCACCACTGCACTCCAGCCTGGGCGACAGCAAGGCTCTTTCTCAAAAAAAAAAAAAAAAAGGGAAAAAACAAGCTATTTCTTAATACTCTGACTAGTATTGGATATTACTAATCTTTTTAATTTTTCCTAATCTGAAGCATTAATGACTGCTCATACACTTTACCACTTTAATTTTCATGTCTAAAAACTTTCCCTTTCCTTCTCTTTTCCAAATGTAATTGCAAATTAAACCTGACTTGAGGCCTTATTCTTTTGGGTCTCTGAGGAGGTTCTGTGCATCTGTCTCCCCCGTCACCCTGTCTGCTGCCTGCCTGCCGCCTGCCTGCCCAGCTTGCTGTTCCTCAAGCATGCCAATCGTGTTTCTATTTCAGAGCCATTGCATTATCTGTTCCCTCTGTCTGGAACATTCTTCCCCCAAAATCCATACACATGACCCGTTTTCCAGCCTCCCTATGGCTTTGTACAGATGTTACTTTCTCTGTGAGACCTATCCTGCCACCCCTGTTTGTACCAGCAATTCCTTCCCACTTGTGCCAACTATGAGAGTCTCTTTTCATCTGCAATGCTGACTGGCTCCTCCTAACACACTGTAGTAATGTGGGCAGTTTGATGGAATACAGTTGCTAGAGAAGATTCACAGGACCCCAAAATAACAATGTATCCAATCTGCACAGTACCTGAGAACCAGGGAGCACAAGGTGGAGCATCTTCTTGTATACCCTGAGTCTATATGAACCAGCCCCACTGGCGGAGCCTCCAGGCAAATCCTTCGTCTCACTAATCATAAACAATGTTGACAGGCCAGCACAGTTGTCCCCAGACTTCCCGGACCTGTGGCTATAAAGCACCACTGCCTAATTAGTACATTTTGTGTAGTGCAGGTACTTTAGTGAAAGCAGTGCAGGCCGGTTCCAAGCCTGTTGAAATGAACCTCCCAAGACACATACAATTTACTTACTTATTATGTTTATTTTCTGTCATTCCTTACCAGCATACAAGCTCCATGATGACAAGGATCTTTCTAGGTTGCAAGACCGGCGCCTGACATATATCATGTTTTTTGTCAATAAATCAGTGAATAACTAACAGAGCAAGATCCCAGTATAGTCATTAGCCTTAAATAGCCAAAAGAAGTTCTTTCTATAAGACTGAAGCAAAAGAAGTTAGCTTTTACATGGGTAGCTAGCTCCCTATGTAAGCAAGTTTGGGCTGGCAGCTTCAAGCTGAAAACCAAGGAACCTAGACAGACGACTTAAATTTCCCTGGGGTCCTGTAAGAAAGAAGTCAGGCATAAAAGTGTTAGTAGGTAAAATCGATGTGAAGTTCAGAATGTGTATTTGTGCTGATGGCCGGGCTAAAGATGGGAAGTCAATGGGCAGTTCCAAGAAGAGAATGTGGGTAAGGCTGGGACTGTGAGGTGTGTTTCAAAGGAAACATTTCCCCTCTCTGAGTATGGTAAGAGTAGAGTTAACCCACGACCTTCCTGTGGATATCAACCTGGGGTTTCATGTTTTTGTGAGTGTAGTCATAGTTTTGGGGTTTTACTGGCTGATTGGAGCTACTGTGATTTAATGATAGTAGGGCAAGAATAATAATGGTTCTTTTCTTTGGTAATTATAAAATAAAAATTGTTTTCTTACTGCGTCATGGTCTTGCAGGGAGGACGATGTGAGAATAGTGCTACCAAGCAGGCAATGGGCTTGCTGCCCAACCCACATAGAGTCCAAGATCATGCCACTTGCTTTTGAGAAAAGAAAGGCTTTATTGCAAGTTGCCTGGCAAGGAGACAGGAAGAAATGCTCAAATCTGCCTCCCTGAGATGGGAGCTCAGGCAGTTTCATACGCAGAGAAAACGAAGTGTGATCTGATTGGATCTTGCAACCAGGTGATGCTGGGAGGCGTCATCTGACTGGGTTGTGTCCCAAGGTGATGCTAGGGCTGAATCTGATTGGATCCTAGATTATGCCGTCAGGTGTTTACTCCTTAATTTGGCCCCCGTTCCTTGGTCTAAGTGCTTAGGTTCCACCTGTGGTTACATGCTTGTTTCACCTGGGCATGTGCAAGTGACATAACTTGCCACATCGGGGGCCAGGGCAATTAAACAGTTCACCATTTTGATACACAAAGTTGAACTAGATTGGGCTGGTTTGGTGGTAACAATAGCAAAAAATCTAAAGAGACTGGCTAAAAACTTTCATGGAAACTAAGAATGCTAGGATCATGAAAATGTCTCACAAAGCATAATACAGAGCCTTTTATACAGTCTTTTAAATTCTATCCATTTTCTTTATAATTGCACAAAAAGAAATAAATATTGCCAATTCACATACAGTGCAAGAAACACCTCTTTCAGAAGTTTTTATTACTGATATTATAAAAGGTATCAGAAATGTATGCGAAAGGGCTTTTTCTCCTGTCTTAAGCAGTTGCAATACAGCATTAATTTTTGTGTTCTTTTTGCACAGCGTAAATGTATGCAGCCCAAAGATTTTAATTTTAAAACACCAGAAAATGATAAGAGATTTCAGAAGAAATTTGAGAAAATGGCTAAAGAGCTACAAAGGCAAAAAACAAGTCTAGGTAAGCTAAGAAATTTAATACAGTTCTTTGCATTTGTGTCCATACACCTTGTTTAATTTGCATGATGACTGGTGATGTTCAGGATGAGAGAGCTGATGGAGGCTATCGTAGCTTTACTCTAGGAAGGAGAAGACAAAATGTCAGGAGGCTACGGGAGACTTGACTGGGAGCCAGAATAGAGCCATGCAGCTGAGCTGATCGACCACAGTCTTAACCATTCATCAAGGTGGTCGAGCTTTTTATTTTCAGGAATGATTTCAGAAGAAAAGCAAACTTTGGCTAATAAGCCTTATTGAAATAAATACCTATTTATTTCTTCTTTATATATAACTTTGTATTTTTACCTAATTGGCCTTTTTGTTCTGTTACCCAGAATAGGCAAATCTTAGATGATACATTCTTTTAGTGATTTGGAAAAATACTTTAGAATATTATGTGCTATAACAAGATGTCTTAGAAAAAATATATATATTCTTATGCATATATTCCTAAATAATATTCTTATATATAAGAATATTATGGGCTGGGCACGGTGGCTCACGTCTGTAATCCCAGCACTTTGGGAGGCTGAGGCGGGTGGATCAGGAGGTCAGGAGATCGAGACCATCCTGGCCACCACGCCCAGCTAATTTTTTTATTTTTAGTAGAAACGGGGTTTCACCATGTTGGCCAGGATGATCTCAAACTCTTGACCTTGTGATCCGCCTGCCTCAGCCTCCCAAAGTGCTGGGATTACAGGCGTGAGCCACCGCGCCCGGCCAAGATTTATTTTAAATCTGTGATGATAATGCTACAGAATTGGGTAGAACAGTTAGCCTACGTAGTGCTGCCACGTAACTTTCCAGAAACATGGCCTGCATCATTTGTTTCATGCTCAGCTCTCCTGCTGCCTCTCCTGGTGTGTGTCCATCCTTCCTTCACACCAGCTGTCTGGTCTTCGTCGAAGCTCAAGTCAGAAACATGCAATCGTCCTTGACATCTCCTCCTTCCTGACACTAACGCCCATCAAGACCATGGCCCTGCTTCTGAAATAGTTGTTTGACTTCTTCTGTTTTCTCCTTACCTGCTCTCTCCCCTGATGCCTGGATCATCCCTCCTGCACCACAGGAGCCACTCCTTACCCTGCCCTCCACTCTGTCCTTACAGTTCATCTCTGTGCTGCAGTCACAATGAGGAAAACCTTAAATCAGAAGGATATCCCCTTCCTGGTTTAAAATTTCTTGGTATCATCCCAAGGAAAAATATTCAGGATAAAATCCTGTATTTAACATATTCTCCAATTTTCTAGGTCCTTTATGATCTGGCCTCTCCTAGCCTCATATCAATATTACACAGTCTCCTATAACTCTTTATACTTTTGTCACTTTGGCCTTCTTTCCTATATCAGTGACAGTGTGTTTGAAAATATTTTGACAACATGGTAATGATAGATACAAAATTTTCTTCTTAGACCAAATATGTATCGTAATTAAAAACCATACATATGAAGTATTAATGATTCAACTAATGTACATTTGTATATTGTCAGAACTACAGTAAGGATTATTCAGGCTTAAGAGTTGCAAAGGAGAAGATATTAAATGATTCTTGGTATTTTTTTGTTGGGAGTGATTATGAAAGTACTGAAGGGCTCCTTGAGCATATGCAAGGTAGCATTCCAGAAAAAAACACAACCGCACCCACACAAAACGAGCTCATAATTTCATGGTTCTGGGACCATGCTGATCCCACTTCATGCAGTCAGGTTCATGTCTGAGTCTGTGAGTGTGTGTTGAGGGTAGGAGCGATGGTTAATGGGAGCAGTTTCTGAAACCTGGGACAAGAAACAGAAACCAAATTGCATTCCAGCTTTGCAACTTTTAACTTCTGTGTCTCAGTCTTTGTTTTTAAGTGGGTTACTAGTTTGGGTTTGGGTTTGAGGTTGGATGCACTAATGCATATATTTTCTTAGCACAGTACTTGGTGAGGGCAGTTGCTCAGCAGATGTGAGCCAGCAGCTGTAGCAGCAACGTCACTGCCTGTGGAGGTGGTGGGGGTAGAATATTAGCAGAAGTAGGTAATGATGTTGAAAGAGAAGAAGGAAAATGGGGTGTTGGGGGTTGTTCCTTAAAAGGAATCATATTGAAGTATGAAGGCGCTTTTTGATCTTAAAGTGGATTTTTTGTTTGTTTTCAGATGATGATGTACCTATTCTCTTATTTGAATCTAATGGTTCATTAACATATAGTCCTACAATTAAAATTAATAGTAGTCACCACAGCGCAATGGAGAAGAGATTACAAGAGATGAAGGAGAAAAGGGAAAATCTTTCCCCCACCTGTAAGTAATTACAGTTTGTAAAATGAAAATTATGCAAATAGGTGATTAAATTATGGTGGAAACCTTTTTTTTTTTTCTTTGCCTAGATATTTTAATGTTTCCTGATAGTAACAAATTTTGACCTATTTCATGGCTGGCTTTGTTTTCCAGAAAATGTTATGCATCATTAAGATTTTTGAAGTTGTGTTGGGTGTATAGTATTCTTCAAGTTTAAAATCCTGTTTGTTGTAGCTCCTTTGTAATTTCTATTAGCTTTGGAATTTTTTCTTTCTTTTTTAAAAACAAAATGAATTTTTTTTTTTTGGTCTGAGATGGAGTTTTGCATTTGTCACCCAGGCTGGAGTGTAGTGGTGCAATCTGGGCTCATTGCGACCTCCTGAGTTTAAGTGATTCTGCTGCCTCAGCCCTCTGAGTAGCTGGGATTACAGGTGCCGGCCACCACTCCTGGCTAGTTTTTTTTGTTTTTTTGTATTTTTAGTAGAGATGGGGTTTCACCATGTTGGCCAGGCTGGTCTTAAACTCATAACCTCACGTGATCCACCCGCCTCGGCCTCCCAAACGGCTGGGATTACAGGCATGAGCCACCGTGCCCAGCCATGAATCGTGTCTTTTGAAGGAATTTGCTTTAGATTAAATGTGTCTAATGAATCAGTTTGTTTCTCATTATTTCTTTTATCTTTAAAATTTTTAATTACTGAAGTATAATTCAGCACATTTTAATAAAACATTTAACAAAGTAGCTAATAGTAAAAGTTCATCTTGATACTCACCTAATTATACTCTTCTACCTGGGGATAACCTGTATTTTAAGTTGATGTGTTTTTCCAGATCTGTTTCTGTGTATCAGATATCTGTGTATACATGAAAAAGATACAGGTTTGTTTTCTGTGTGGAGGTGTCATTTCTGTTTCTGTGTAAATTATCTAATTACCTAAATTAGATAATGACATATGTATTATTACGCACTTTGTTTTCTTACTTAAGAGTATCCTGGAGGTTTTTTTGCAGCTTAGTTGTTGTAGACCTATTTTTTTTTTTAAAGATGCTCTAAGTAGTCTGCAGCTTTGATATTGACTCATCTATTGGTGGATATTTTTTCCCACTTTTTCTTTATTAGAAATCGTGCTGCAGTTTTTATTCTTTTTTTAACCATATAGGTTGGTGGTTCTTATTTTTTTTTTAAGCCATTTTCCTTTCTCTGGACATAAGTCTTTCCAGCTTCCCACCCCGACTTTTTACTGGTATAACCCCTGCATGCGCCTACGTGAATCCTTATATTTCTGAGTACTTCATGTATTTCAATAATATTCATACATGCAGAATTTGATTTTTTAAAGATATAGAGAGTCTCACTGTCTTGCCCAGGCAGGACTTGCACTCCTGAGCTCAAGTACTTCTGCCTCACCCTCTCAAGTAGCTAGGAATACAGGTGTGTGCCACTACCCCTGGCTTATTGATAGATATAGTCAAATTATCCTTCAAAAGATTTGGGCCATTTTATTGTCATCAGTTGTTTATAAGAATACCTCTTTCTCCATACTTGGAAAACTGAATGGCATTAGCCTGTAGCCTTTTTCAGTCGGAAGCTTGAAAAACTGGATCTGTTCTCTAAGTTACTTTTGATTAGGAGCAAGTTTCAGTGGCTTTTCATACTATTGACAATGACTTACTGAATGCAGCTTGTAATGCTATCAACTATTGTCTCTCTTAATTTTACATCGTTTGTCCATCTATATCAGTTAAGGTTAGTTTCGGCTGCATATAACAAAGAAAGAAAAAAACCAGTGACTTAAAATCGATAGAATTGCCTTTCTCTGTCTTGCCTAGTTCAGAAGTAGGCAGTCAGGGCTGGGATGCCATTCCATGGTGTCTTTAAGAAACTAGGTTCCCATCTTTCTCTTAGGCCTGCCTGGCTTTTCTTCCAAAATGTGTGTGCCTCCCAGCTAAGCCATCTCCCTTTGACAGCCTTACCAGACATCTATCCAATACTCCTGTCTAATTCCGTTGGCTGGAATGTGGTCATATGCCCACCCGTTTTGCAGGCAAGACTGAAATGTAGTCTTGACTGGGATGCATTGCTATACTGATAAAATCAAAGTTCTGTTGTTAAGAAGAAGTGAGAATGGACATTGAGGAAGATAACCGTGTCCCAGGTAGACGTCCAAATTGTTCCAATGTGCAATTATGCGTATAAAGTAATTTGCCTTAAACTTTACTTTTTCTATTACTTTACAGTGTTAATTCTGCTACTTCACTGCATCCAGCACAGTTTAAAACTTAACTGAAAATTTTATGTGTGCTTCCCTTCTTTATCTTGGTTTATTCTCTTTTTGACTGAAGTTTTCTCAGAAAAGTATCATTTTGAGTCTCTAAAAAATATCTTTGGATATGAGATCCAAACATTTCTTTTGTTTCTTGACTATTGTATGAACAGCCTTTGAAGATAATACTTAGGACCTTATTTGTTAAGTCATTGACATCCTAAGTGTTTTCTATGAAACCTCTAGGATTTCTCAACACAGCACAGCTGACAGTTGGGTCTGGGTAATTCTTTGCGGGGGGTACTGCCCTGTGTGTGGCAGGAAGCTCAGCAGCATCCCTGCCTCTCCCCACTAACACTAGCAACGTACCCACTGCTCTCCCTCACTGGCAACATCCACAGATGTGTCCAGACATTACCAGCTATCTGCTGGGACCCCACGTCACCCTGGTTGAGAAGCAGTGCTCTAGTTTTAGAGGTAACTATGGTGAGCATCCTTGAAGAAAAAGCCATGATTATCAAACAAGAAGACTAAAATAGACAGGAAGTGTTCACTTAACTCTGTTGAGCTTCTGATTATATTTAGGCAAGCTGACTTTAAGATCCCTTCTAACTTTGTGATTATAGGATTTAACAGAATCACCTATGATTAATAGGAGGATTTCCTGCTGGCTAAAAAAATACTGAAACTTTAATGCAGTGTCTTGGTCCTGTTTTTAGCTTCCCAAATGATTCAACAGTCTCATGATAATCCAAGTAACTCTCTGTGTGAAGCACCTTTGAACATTTCACATGATACTTTGTGTTCAGGTAAATTTTTTATTTTCCTTTGTGTGATATATTTAAGTTCTGATTTAGAATTTCATGTAGCAACGTCTGATGAGTAAAATAATTAGTTAAAACTAGAACTTCTAAATATCCCCCTGAAATTAGGTATTATAATAAAATTAAGGCATGAGTTAAACTTCCTTTTTGGTTCCTATAGGTTTTTTCCCTAGGCATTTGCTTTCTTGCTACAGAATCCATTGCTCATTTAAAAAAATTATTGTGGTCATATATGAACTAATCTGTATGCAGTTTAAACTACATAGAACTGAGGTCAGAGCTAAGGAAATGTTGTTTCACACAATGTCTAATTAACACAAGGAACATGTTATTGAACGAGGTCAGTGAAGTATGTAAAGATCGTCAATCAATTGAGGAGCTAAGTAGAGGATTTCTAATTACAAGCAGAAAGAACATTGGTAAGAATTAATGCAGTTAGTTACATGTTATGCACATACATATTTTTTAATGTGGGAGCCCTTGTGTCACTTAGGATGATAATTGTTCATGGTCATTTCTTCTTCGTACCAATTTCTTACAGTTTGCTCACCTAGCCCCCAGTAGGGCCCAAATAAGTAGCAGCGACCCCTAGAAGTACTGTGTTCGAAAGTGCTTGAGATGTTATGGAATATTTATTATGAAAGCCACAGCAATGACAAAGCACAAGACGGCATCAAGATATTAAAAGTTTAAACCAAAGCCTCTTTTCAGTGCAGGGTTAATCCTTGTACTCTCACCTCTGTGTGCTGGAATTATTTACCCATTTCTCTTAAACAGTCTCCATCTTTTTATTTTATACTTGATACATTTATTTCCTAGAAGTTGGAAACAAGTGATAATAATAGCTAACATTGATTTCATTTTTGTTGTGTTGTAGGCACTCCTCTAAGTGTCTTACTTACTGTTATCTGAGTTATTCTCCCATTAGCCTTAAGAGGTAGGTTCCATCACCATCCCATTTTGCCAGTGAAAAACCAGGACACAGAGGTCAAACAGCTTGTGCAAGGTCATGTGGTTTGTGAATGGCAAACCCAAGCTTCTAACTTAGGCAGTCTGACATCACAGTTTACACTCTTAGTGACATGTCACATTGCTTATCGGGTTTTTGAAAAGTATGATAAAACATAAAGCAATTTTAGATGCTTTATGACCTTATTTCGAACTACTGCCTTGAAGACACGCATGGTTCCTCCTGCCCACTGGGCTTCCCTCCCCTCCCGGGGCACAGTCGGAAGGGAAGCTTTGGTGATTACCTGTGTTCTTCCTTTTTAAAGCAGAACTTTAGTGATTTCAGTCAGAGACTTATAACACTTATGTTACCTCCAGATTTGCATGATTTCTACAAAACACAGGCCCTCCACCAGCAAGTGCTAAGCCCCTACTAGGGGAGCCAGCACAAGACTAGAGACTTCTTTATATTCATTCCAAAATGAATAGACCTTTAGTAGCCGATAGCATAGTGATGGGCAGACACCCACGTATACTACGGGGCGGTATGATGCATGATGCTGTGTAGCAGAGGGGGCAAGGCCAGGGAGACCTGGCAAGGGCAGTGGGAGGGTCCCAGGGATGTTGACAACCCAGGTGGGTTTTGAAGGATGAATTGTATTTACCTAGAATAAAGTGTGGAGGAAAGGGCAAGGCCCGGAGGGTACAGAGGAGTACAGAATTTTCAGGAGGTAGCAGCAGCTTAGCATTCCTCTCAGGAAATGAGTAAGCTATACAAGAGTTGAAACATTAAGACCTACCAAATGGCTCACTTTTGAATATAAGTGTCATACGAGGACTTCACTAGAAGACAGGGAAGGTAAAGGTGAGCTATGTTCATTGAGGGAATGTTTCACACAAGACTAGAACTTTCCCTAGACCTTACAGCAGTCGTTCTTAGGTTTTAGAATTATTGATCTCCTGGAAAATTTAGCGACAAACTATGGAAGCTCTTCCGGGAAAATGTGCACGTGCATATGGAAATTTGCCTAAAATTTTTAGAAGTTTGTTACCCCTCTTCTCTATCCCCACCACTGTCCTATACACTCATCAAAGCCCAGGTTTTCTAGTTAAAAATACTGGCCTAAAACTTACTCTTAAATGGAAATGAGAAGAACCCAAATGTGGTTAATAGTCTTCTTAACTAATAGCTGTACTTTAAAAGTAATGTTTTATTGGTCAACTGAAAATTGAATTTAGAATAATTTAAACCACTTTTAAAAGTTAGCTGTCCGTTAATGTTTTCCAGATGAATCCATTGCTGGTGGCTTACACTCGTCTTTTGATGATCTTTGTGGAAACTCAGGATGTGGAAATCAGGAAAGGAAGTTGGGAGGATCCATTAATGACACTAAAAGTGATATGTGTATTTCTTCACTTGTATTGAAAACAAATAATACTCATTTATCACCATCTTTCGCTCACCTTGATAAATCAAGTCCTCAGAAATTTCTGAGTGATCTTTCAAAGGAAGAAATAAACTTGCAAAGAAATATTGTGGGTAAAATAGTCACCCCTGACCAAAAGCAGGCTGCAGGTATGTCTCAGGAGACGTTTGAAGAGAAGTATCGTTTGTCTCCTACGTTGTCTTCAACAAAAGGCCACCTTTTGATACATTCAAGACCCAGGAGTTCCTCAGTAAAGAGAAAAAGAGTATCATATGGCTTCCATTCACCTCCAAAGGAAAAATGCAAGAGAAAGAGGAGCATCAGGAGATCTATCATGCCGAGGCTGCAGCTGTGTAGGTCAGCAGGCAGCCTGCAGCGCATGGCGGGACCTGCACTCGAGGCTCTTAGCTGTGGGGATTCATATGATGACTATTTTTCACCTGATAATCTTAAGGAAAGGAATTCAGAGAATCTTCCTCCCAAATCTCAGCTGCCGTCAAACCCTGCTCAGTTCAGCTGCAGAAGTCTTTCTAAGAAGGAGAGAACAAGCATATTTGAAATGTCTGATTTTTCCTGCGTTGGTAAAAAAACCAGAACAGTTGACATTACCAGTTTCACAGCAAAAACCATCTCCAGTCCTCAGAAAACTGCAAACGGAGAAGGCCGTGCAACTTTGAGTTGCGTGACTTCTGAGGAATCCTCTGGCCCTGAAGAAACCTTAAGGTGTTGTAGGCAGGCTGGGCCTCAGCAGAAAGAAGACGCATGGCCAGAGGGCAATGGCTTTTCTTACACCTTTGAGGACCCCGCTCTTCCAAAAGGACATGATGGTGATTTAACTCCTTTGGAAGGAATCCTTGAAGAAGTGAAAGAAGCGGTTGGTCTGAAAAGCACACAGGACGAAGGTACCACTTCCAAAATATCAAACTCCTCTGAAGGCGAAGCCCCGAGTGAACGTGAGCCACGTTCTGTAGTTGACTGTAACGTGGAGAGGTCTGCAGAAGAAAAGGAAAACTTACCTGGAGGATACAGTGGAAGTATGTGAATCTCCTTTTCCAAGTCATCTTTGCTAAATAAACATGTAACAGTGCATCCATCCATATTTTAAATTTATCACAACTTTTTCATAACTTAAATTATTTCCCCAGTTTTTACTTAAAGAATATGCATTTGATCATTCCAATGATAAACTCTTTAGGAATAGATAGATGACTTGCTGTCCTGTGGAACTTCTAGACTTATTGATCAAGTCTGTTATGAATCTATTTCTCCAAGACTTTTCCTTCTTATAGGTCAAAAGGATAAGGAGTCTGTAGTATGAATAACTGAGGGGAGTGAAGTCTTTTTCTTTGTTCCGTTGGAGTCTTGCGCTGCAGCGTGTGTAAAGATGCATACAATAAAGGGTTTTTTAAAACCTAGGTTCTTAATAGTGAGGCTGTTTAAAGAAAGAAATTAAGGTAGCTTAAGCCATCGATTGTATCAAAGAGGAAGTATGAAAAAGTACATTTAGAAATCGGTTATCAATATTGATTTTTGAAGAAACTTTAGTCAGTATTAACTATGAAGAAACATTTTTAAAACATTTTTGCTCATTTATAACAGGCCTTGTTTGACTTGTACTTATTTTGCTTGAAGCATCACTTGAAAAGATTTATTCCTATTCATAATTTAATTGTAACTATAATAATAAACTATATCATTGTAGCAAAAGTCACAACAATAAAAAATTTTGCACTTCACAGTTACAAGCACAAATAGGTTCCAGCAACCGAAATTGAAGAAATCTTAAACTTTGACTGTCTTTACCTAAAGATTAGGTTAAAATTTGAGTAAGAACGCATTCACTCTGCGTGATTTCTCTGCTCTACAAATGTGTTAACTGCCTCTTTGAAGGTGGAGAAGTCACAGCAGGGTTTGAAATCATCACAGATGTGTTACATACCTTTTCCTTGAGTATACACTCCCCAAAATTGTTTCACAAAAAGGATGAAAATACTTCTGTGTATTTTTAGCCTGCTATTTATATCTTGGTTTTCTGAACATATATTAAATTTGACAAGAAACTGTATTTTATGTTCCATTAGCCTTAGTATGTGTTTTCAAAATATTTATTTTAAAATGTTGACTCAAAAGTTAATATAAAACAATAGATGTGTAAAATTCTTTTGGTAGTTAAGAATATCCCGTTCTGAAGTTTACATTCTCCTTCTTTCCAGTTTTCATCTTGTGTATTTTTTAAGCTTTTGAATAATAATGACATGCAAATGTTAATTAAGTGGCAAAAAGCTGGTAGCAAACAGTATGGCATGGCCTAAAATCCCCATGTTGTCGGGAGTGTGCTAGTCCTCAGAAGCAGTTGTGTTTTATGTTCTAGAACACTGCCCCCTGCGTCGACAGCCTCCGGCGGTGGGGGTAAGTAGAAGGGGATGAGGGGCCAGCACTGGTTGACCCCATGGCACCCTGGTGGAGATGGAGAGGTTTTTTCGCTCAGTGGTGCAGGCCATCAGGCAGGAGTGTCCAGACAGGGCCCTGGTGCAACTGTGTGCCCTAGCGTTAAGAGGATCTTCTAGAGTCATCTGCCTTACTTCATGCCGTTACAGAGAGATGGGAAATCATTGGGTTCTAGGACATAAAAAGGCTTACATGTTGGCTAGCCTAAATCTAACCCTTTTCTTTTATAGTAATAAAGAGTCATCAATGTTTTAAACTGTCCACTGTCAGCCCCCTGGGACTCAGGTAAACCAATTCTCTTTGGGAATCTGCCTTACAAGATGAAACCATAAGGCCTTCAGTTTCAATGTCAAGGATGCACACTCTATACCTGGTGAAATTGTGGAGAAGTGAAAACTTCTGTACAGCAAACTGTACCTCCAAATCTTTAATGTCGAAATAAAGGGCTTTTTTCCATTTCTGTTTTCAGTTCACTTTTACTTGTTGCCATTGTCAATATCTAAGATAGTGTGTAAAAAAGGTTTCAAAAACAAGTTACAAAGAGCTTCAGTACATTAGTAGAATGGGAACTGAGGGAGAAACAATTTTGGTTTTGTTTTGTTTTTGTTTTTTGAGACGTAGTCTTGCTCTGTTGCCCAGGTTGGAGTGCGGTGGCACGATTTTGGCTCACTGCAACCTCCGCCTCCCAAGTGTAAGCAATTCTCTGCCTCAGCCTCCCGAGTAGCTGGGATTACAGGCACCCGTCACCATGCCCAGCTGATTTTGTTGTATTTTTAGTAGAGACAGGGTTTCACATCTTGGCCATGCTGGTCTTGAACTCCTGAACTCGTGATCTACCCACCTCGGCTTCCCAAAGTGTTGGGATTACAGGCGTGAGCCACTGCACCCGGCCAACAATTTTGTTTTCTAAAATCTTTAAAATCATTAGTTCTTTTCTGTTTTACTTTTTTATTCTCTAATTTTATAAACAGTACACAGATACATTCCCATTGTAACAAAGATTGCTAAGAAGATTAGAATTTCCATCTCCTCACTTGCCTCTTTTCGTTAGTTCACTTCCTAACTAATGAAAGTCGTGGACCCGTTGTGTCTCAGGTGTTCTTCAAGTTTGTGGGGACATAGCAGAGAATGAAGCAGCGTGCACCCTCATAGAGGAAGACAAATAGTAAATAAGTGTGTAACAGTGTCAGCAAGCAGTTAATGATTAAAAGAAAAACAATAGTGCATTGGATAGATAAGGTGACAAATGAAGGCTTCCCTGAGAAGGAGACATCCGATCACAGGCCTGGGGAGGGAGAGGGAGCCTGTGACTCTCAAAATCCATGTTGCAGCTGGAGGTAACAGCAGGAACAAATGTCCTGATGGAGAAAAATGCTTGCAGGAATGACAGGGAAGCCAGTACAGCAAGGACTTCCTGAACTGGAGGAAGGAGATTGGAGAGGGGTAGGAGCCAGAGCTTTGGGACCTTCAGTGTCTGACAAGGTGGGCAGCTGTTTTGTTTTGAAGTGTGGTGAGAAGCCATTGGGGCTTTGGAACAGGGGAGCAACCAAATCTGATTTAGGTTTTAAATGTAACCCTGGACACTGGAGAACAGCCTGGGTTGGAGTGTTTGTCTGCACAAAGCAATCACTGTCCCACAGTTTAATATTTCCTTCCACACATTTCGTGTGTGTGTGTGTGTGTGTGTGTCTACAAGCATACAAATGCAAATAGGTATTTTAAGATAATTTTTTGCATACATAGAATTACATTGCCTTAAAAATTGCTTTTTACAAAAGCAATATGTCATATATTTACATATTGGTACCAGTAAACCTTCATTTTTTAATACAGTCTATATGTAAGGTCAGCACAATTTTTTTGTAACAGATCAGATAGTAAGTTCGTTAGGCTTTGTGGGCAAAGAGACCAAATCGAGGTATGTGGGTACTCATGTAAATGATTACATAATGAGAAAAAGACATTTTCTACAAAATTTTTATTGATGAAACTCAAATACAATTTTTTTGTAATACAGGTCTATTGAGAAAAAAAATAATTTGTGGGGGGGAATTACAACATTTCATTTAATTGGAGTTCAGACTGAGTGTTCACATTAACATTGATTGCAAATGTTATTAAGGCTGATATGTAATAAGATAGATTTTATGTATTTCACTTTTGAAAATGCTTTTTCCCACAGACAGATACTGCTGATTCGATGTCAGTCCACAAGCAGATAATTTGCATTGAGGATCTTCATAGCCTGGAAAACACTGATGGAATTCTCTTAGATTCTTCTCTCGGTGCCTGCCTCTTAGCATGTCCTTATATTGCAGATTTATCACTTGCAATTGAAAAATAGGTTGAAGATCCTCAATTGTGCAGTCAAATGGGTTTTGAAATAAGAAATTCCGGCCAGGCATGGTGGCTCACACCTGTAATCCCAGCACTTTGGGAGGCCGAGGTGGGTGGATCACTTGTCAGGAGTTCAAGACCAACCTGATCAACATAGTTAAACCCCATTTCTACTAAAATTACAAAATTAGCTGGGCATGGTGGCACATGCCTGTAATCTCAGCTACTTGGGAGGCTGAGGCAGCAGAATCACTTGAACCCGGGAGATGGAGGTTGCGGTGAGCCGAGATCGCGCCACTGCATTCCAGCCCGGGCAACAAGAGTGAAACTCCGTCTCAAAAAAAAAAAAAAAAAAAGGAAATTCCCTTTGCTCTTGCACTCAGTCTGTTGTTGTTTTGAGATAGGGTCTCACTCTGTCAGCCAAACTGGAGTGCAGTGACATGATCACAGCTCACTGCAGCCTCAGCCTGCTAAAGTTTGGGCTTAGGAAATATGTCCACAGCCAGCAGACAGTTTGCATGGAAATGGAGATCCCACTTCTTGTTTTAACCTTTGACAGCCAAAGAGAGAATTGTTGTTGCTTATTTGTGGAAATGTGTCCCACCTGCCCCTTGGCACTGCCAATCATAGCTCTTCAACCACCGGAATATCTGTTTGAATTGTCAAGCAGATAAAGCCGATTGGTCATCTTGAACTAGTACACAGCTTGGCACCTAATTACTTTTCACTAATGAAGGAAACACAGTGGTCCCATAGGTGCTGTGTGTTCACTAGCAAAAGCAGAAAAGTCCTTCCCACACCCCACTTATCCATGGGTTTGATAGATTTTCTTCTTTGTTGTGTTGATGGATTTTTACATGTCAGCACCTTGTACACATGTGTTGTGAGCTAATCTGAGCAATTTGGTCATGTCCAACTACCAGGGTCTTGTTCATCGATAATAGTCAGAAGTCGTTGGAGGTTGATGATGGTTAACTACTCTTCTACCATCTATCTACCTGATCTTGTTGAAGGCAAGTCTCAGAAAGACATTTATTAAACATTTATTGGCAAGCAGTTAGGAAGCGGTCCACAAAAGTGACCAATATGCTAAAGGCCGAGTTCTCTGTCCTTTAGTGGAGTGTCCATACCTTATCTGAAAGGTTTGCCTTGGATACCACCCCCAGGGATACCAGCCACAACTCATACGAGATGTTTATGCTCTGTTATGTGTGGATATTGGGTCCCCTGCAATATTTAAGTGTTCTTGAATCCATGAATCCATGAATTTAACCAACAAGAAACTATTTCTCACATCCATTATGCTGATTAACAAGCTGATGATGTCACTGATGACCACTCATTTTTGTCATCCATTTTGGCTTTTAACCAAGCATCTAATATTGGTCTGGAGGATTTATAGGAGTTGGGGTTTTTTTGTTGTTGTTTTGAGATAGGGTCTCACTCTGTCACCCAAACTGGAGTGCAGTGACATGATCGCAGCTCACTGCAGCCTCAACTTACTGTTCTCAAGCGATCCTCCCACCTCAGCATCCTGAGTAGCTGGGACTACAGATGCAGGCTACCACACCTGGCTATGTTCCCCAGGCTGGTCTCCAACTTCTGAGCTCATGTAATCTGCCTGCCTCTGCCTCCCAAAGTGCTGGGATTACAGTTGTAAGCCACTGTGCCCAGCCTATGGTATAATACATTTTGCAAATTCTGAGCATTCCAGAGGAACTGTGAATTACTATTGTAGCAAATAAATAGATATACATATATTCATTAAGTACATTAAATTGTTGCACTTTTGACTGTTCAAATAATTCATAAGTGTATTAAGAACCCCCTTTCCCATAGTCTGCCAGCCCAACTCACTGGGGCTGCAGAATTAAGCAATCCTAGCAACTTGGTGTGGGTTAGTCAGTCTTAACAGAAGGCTGTTGACCATTTAACTGTTTGGTTGATTCATTCATTTACGTATTCACTTTTTATCAATCAGATGTTTACTCCGTATCTACTGTGTCCAATGTATAAACAGTGAGAGGTTAGGTTAATAGAAAGCTCTAACCCTTTGCTTTAAAGAACTTAGCTAAGTAGGGAAGGTACAGTCAAGATACTTTACACACAAGTATCGGGAAATTCAAAAGTCAGAGCAATTACTTTCAGTGGGAAATTTACACACATAAAATTTACACACATAAAATTGATATTGAAATTGAAATTTACACATAAAATTTACACACATAAAATTGATATTGTAATGATCTCTACAATGATTGCAAAGGATAAAATTTCACATTATCTATTGAAGAGTGTTGTTTCTGTCTTTTTCAGAGTGAACAAAGTGAACTTGATATTTTAATAGATGAGTATGAGTACAGTCTCTTGTTAGCGGGGTTTTACTTGTGTAGAACCCGTACAACTTGCATATATCCCAAAGGTATCTCTGGAAAGGAATTTTTCCTAGGTGTCTTTTAAGGTTCTTTCCAGTCTTAATATTTTGCATACTACATTGTTAAATAATTTCATATTCAAATTTTTGAAGCTTAGAAGAAATTTCTTATTGGATAATGTTAAGTGTATATTTTTACATGTTAAAATTATGGATTATTTAGCCTTCAGAAGCCTTTTCAACCCTTGACTCTTGCATAGTGCCTTGTATGAGTAAATGCTAATTGTTTAAATGTATTATTAGTATTAGCATTGTTAGTCTTAATTCTGTATCTTGGAAGTAGGATGTGGAGGAAAATAAATGTTAAAAATAAGAGTTATTTCTTCAGCTTTAGCTCTAGACAAAATTAATAGTCTTTTCAATGTCCACTTCTTCATCTCTCCCTTTCCTAGTATTTCAGTTACCTGTGTCCTTATACTGTCTTGGCCTGGTTCTGGCTCCAAAGTGATCATATTAGACATTTTCTTCTCTCTTCCCTGAGTATCAGTACTTTTCCTTAATCTTGCTTATCTCTGTTGAGTAGCTGAAGGTTGTGATTTAACTAATTCACACTGAGAGGTGAATGAGTGACCATTTACTAGCTTTCATTGATGTGTTTGCATTTTGTTGGTATTATTAATCCAAACTAATTTCCAAATGGTGAAATTTCAGATAACTGAAAGATGAAAATGTGGGGGCTGTCAGATTCATTTCTGTATATGATCATTTTGTGAAAATGAAGTCAATGAATTGTGTGTGTAATGAGGTTGGGAGGAAAATGAGAGAGGAAGATACGTGCTTTCACAGGGAAATGCTGTGGACCGAATTGTGTCCTCTGACCCCCACATTTATTTATTGAAGCTCTAACCCTCAATGGGATAGCATTTGGAGAGGGCGATCTTTGGGAGATAATTAGGTAATTAGGTTTAGATGAGGTCTTAAAGGTAGGAGCTTCATGATGGGATTAGGACCATTATAAAAAGACACCAGAGAACTGGCTTCCTCTCGCTATGCCATGTGAAGACAGCAAGAAGATAGCTTCCTTTAAGCCAGAAAGAGAGCCTTCACCAGAACCTGACCATGGGGGCACCCTGATCTCGGCCTTCAGGCCACCCAATCTATGGTATTTTGTTGTGGTAGCCCCAGCCGAAGAAGACGGACATTCATCCAACTGGGGTGTGTTGGAGGAAGAGCAGCTAAAGGGTGCATGTTAGTTGGAATTTCTTGGAGACATTCAAAATAGATGTCCATTAGGTAGTTGGATATATCCAGCCGTACCTCAGCTGGGAGGTCTGGACAAGGTACAGAGAATTAGGTCTCTTCAGTAATGGATGAGTTTATGGGAAGTGATGAAATCACCTTGGGGAGTGAGAAGGGAGCTGATGACAACCCATGAAAAAAACCACACTTAGGAGCATACACGGAAAGAGTCATCCAAGAAGTGGGAGAGTCAGGAAGAGGAGAGTAGGTGTTTGTTTGCAGACTTCCAGCCAACAATGGAGTCCAACTAATCTTTCCACGGATGTTTTCAGAAGTAATTTGCACTCTCAACTGCGTTGGGTTTACTGAGGTCATTGTTAAAACACACTGGCAAATTACTGTGGCAGAGTTTATGAAATGTTTTCAATAACCAATTAATAAATCATTTACTTAGATTGTTTTTTGACTGCAGGATTTGTGAAATTGTGAAAACGTGTTGTTAGCAATATCAGTCTGTCTTAAGTTTTTAAAGATCGTGTTGCATTTCCTAGAACTTTATGTTTATAAAATGCTTTACAGCCTGTTTTGTTGTTCGGCAAGAACTGAGGCAAGTGGCTGTTATAAAACTTTCATTGACTACACTAGGAAGCTGCAAATTTATTCATGTTTCAATAACAGCACTGTATCCCAAATTATATCTCTAGTCCACTGCTTTTCTGATTTTGACACACTCATGCTTCAAGTAAATATTATTATTTAAAAAGAAAAATAAGTGCATAGTAGATATAATTATTTTTAATCTTAAAAATGAAAAAGATTGCATTCATATTCTACCCTAGGGGATAAAGTGGGCCTGGGAGAAAAGTCAGTGCAAGTCAACCATAAAGGATACCTGAGGAGGTACGGGATCAGTCAGGATGTGACTGGTTTGAGTCTCCAGGGGATTCAGTATTAGGGATTATGGCAAAGGGTGTAGGTTGGTAGGTTTGTGGTTTAGAACTGGACCTTAAAATCTGTCCAGGGCCCAGGCTGCAAATAACAACTAGCTTGAATTCAGGAAAGTATTAACATTTTTATTCTGCATCCTTTTTCACTTAGATAGGACCCTGTTTTTGAAAAGAGTGACAGTTTTTACCTTAGAGTCTCCAAACTTAGTTATAGCTGGCTTTATAGAATTTTATCTGCAAAGAAGTCTTTCTCATGTTATATGATTTTTAATTTCTGAGGGCACTGATGTTAATTTCACCTTGCATTATATTTATTCGTCTATGTCTACATTGTCTATTGGGTTGTGAGCTCCCTAAGAGTGGGACTATATCTTGTGCATTTTGCATCTGCAGTGGGTAGATCATTAGCTATTTGTTAATCATTAGGTAATCAACAATGCAGTTTAGCTATCACCTGACTAGCAGGTTCTAGTACCCGCTAGGCTGCTACATAACTTTTGCATCAAAGTTTGCATTTATACCATTGAGACCATGTTATGGTCCATGGTAGCTCCTCCTTCAAAATCCCATCTAAGTCATAAAGTAGGCAAACTGTTTGAAGGAGCAGGAAGGGTGAGAGTAAGAAGCACCCTCTGAGGCAGTAGATGAGTCAAATCAAAGTACACATTTCACATTTTGTTGTGGGTTATTTAGGTCTACACAGGTTAGCATCTAAGGAAACCATATTTCACTTGAATGAGTATCCTTTTGGTTTGTGTGTCTTCATGGCAAGACGCTGGTCTAAGGTGGAAACTTGGGGGGAGTAAAATCATCCATCATTTGTAGGTTGAAGCCTGAAGCTCTGTACTGAAGACTAATTTCTAGAAAAATCTCAAACTGACCCCAAAACTTAATTATTGCCTCTAATATGGAACTGCCTACTCTGAAGAGCTGTTCTTTGTCATTATTTTAAAATCGAAGAATTGAAGTTTGAAGAGTACATAAGGTATGGGTATACATTTTCTTGCATTATCAAATGGACAGAGTTGATGCTGTAGAACATTGTAACCTGATTGTTACTGACCACTGAGTTAAGTGAATTGCTTAGGATACTGGAATGTAATAAGCTGAAAGTTCTAGATAGATCTCAAAAAGCAAAACATATACAATTTATTTAAAAGGCCTATAACTTCCTGTTTCCATTATGCATAAATGTGATTTTTGTTTTGCTTAAGTAGTATTTAGTCCATGTAAAGTTCTAACTAATCTTTAATCCACTTGGGTTTTAGGTGTTAAAAATAGACCAGCAAGGCATGATGTTTTAGATGGCTCATGTGACAGCTTTAAGGACCTCATCAAACCTCATGAGGAATTGAAGAAAAGTGGGAAAGGCAAAAAGGTCAGTGTGTAAAAATATTATTTTAAACTTTCAAATGCTGATACATCATAATGTTCTTCTCTGGGTCAATGAAACATAAACTAGTCTATCCGACTTGTCTTTTATTTTAAAAAATTGATTATGGGTAAATGCTGGAAAACTCAGAATATGAAACTGAAAGCGTTGGTTGCATTCCGGACAAAGAGTTATTATGGATAGACCAAGCTTTCTCATATCACTTTGCTAATGCATTTCTTGTAAAAATGCCTGTAGCTTCTCTCAAGCAGAGAATGTTGGTTATGCTAGTGTTTCTTGCCATTTTATAATCGGAATAAATATTTACTAGGTAGGAGGTGAAGAATCCAAACATTCATTCACTTTTGAACTAACCAAGGTTTGACCTCAAGCCATCAGAGTGAAAGGTTTATATACTAACACTCAGGTACACCCTTTCCTTTGTGGTTTTGGCTTTAAAACCTTGCTCTTCCTCTAAAAAACTCCCCTTATCCTCTTACATGAGTAATATAACGAGGATTTTGAAGTTTTTGATCATTCAATATCTACTTGCATTGCTTCAATTTAAAATTAGCCATTCTATATTATACCTTGTGCCTCATTTTTATGAGGCCAAGGAAGTATAATGTAGTGAAACCTGAATTCAAAATGGTAGGGAAAAACCATACCGATTGAAAAGCAACAGATGAAAAGAATGACAGAGTAGACGGGTCTGCACGGGGCTTCCAGGTCCTGATACTCAGGCTTGAACAGATGGGCGGCTGCATTTGACCTGCGGAAGAGAAACCTGACTCCTTTGCTTCTTTTCTTGGCAATGGTGAAAAGACATTTAAAATTACACAAATTTCATGAAAGGTGGCAGTAACTTATAGAAACTTAGATTTCTGTACTCGTGCTTTCTGGTTTGTCTCAGAAAAAAAAGTGCAGCAAAAAAATTGAAAGGAATCTTATTTCAGGTAAAGCAACAGATGTGGAGAGAGAGAGAGAGAGAGAGACTGTTGGGGTCCTGTAACATATTTGTGGCGTGGCAACACCAAGGCACCTGCTCTACAATGGCGTTGCGCACTCTGACTCCACTGCAGCCTGTGGGACCTGCTCAGCGTGCTGCATCCCAGGGGTGGGGCCCTTCCTAGAATGCTGGCGACACTGTGGCTGAGTTTGTGTTTTGCATCCCTGTTTCTCAGTCTTCTTCCTACTGCTGCATAGCCACTTGACCTAGTTCCTTTGGAAAGAAAGGAAGAATCAGTTTCCTCTGCATCTACTACCGTTCCCGTACCTCTCCTGCTGATGCGTCCCATGGCAGCTGGTCCACAGCTCTGCTTTGTGCCCTCCCGCTTTACTGGCCCTTTACCCTCTGCCAGTGTCTGCCAGGGAAGTGGTGATACCCCTCCTGTCTATTGGGACTCTACGTTGTACCATGTCTGGCATTTTTTTTTAAGTGCTCAGTAAACATTAAGTGTTGAGTTACTTGTTACTCACCATAAAAATACTCCGTCCTGTGTGATCAAAAGGCACGAGGTTTGACTTTCTCATTTGCCCACAATGGAAGTTACTATTTCAGATGAGTGGTATTGCCACCCTGTGCCTGGGATAGCCCTGGACCTGATGGGCTTGGTCTGTGGAAGCACTGGGTTAGGGACAGGCATCCTGAACGGGAGCGTGGCCCCTTCTTCCTTATGAGGCATCTCACTGTAAATGGCATATGAACGGGAGATGGGTACCCGTTTGACCTTCTGGCATTCTTCTGTAGATGAAATAGTAATTGCTCCATGAATATAAGGTGGTGTTATTGTCTTGAGTAATGAAAAAAGAATGAGTGCTCAGAGAGGGAGGCAAAATACAAAATTACAAATACACACCTCCATATCTGCCTTCAACTGCTGTGCTCAGGAACTAAAATATTTTCATAGATTGAACTGCCTAACTTGCTCAAATTTAAGTCTTCTTTTAAAAATATTTTAAGCATATTAATAAACTTTGCCCTCATAATTTAGAATGTCATTTCTGAAAGGGATCCACCACTTCTGGTTCTGTGTGAAGAATCACTCAAAGCAGGTTTTAAATGCAGATTTTCTGGGCCGGGCATGGTGGCTCATGCCTGTAATCTCAGCACTCTGGGGCGGGCGGATCACTTGAGGTCAGGAATTCGAGACCAGCCTAGCCAACATGGCAAAATCCCGTCTCTACAAAAAACACAAAAATTGGCCAGGCCTGGTGGTGGGCACCTGTAATTCCAGCTGCTCAGGAGGCTGAGGTGGGAGAATCACCTGAACCCAGGAAGGGGAGGTTGCAATGAGTTGAGATCATGCCACTGCACTCCAGCCTGGATGACAGAGTGAGACTCTGTCTCAAAAATAAATAAATGCAGATTCTCTGGCCCCACTTGAGACCCTCCTGGCCAGCAGCTCCCCAGCCCAGTGCAGCACCCCGTCCTTAACACGGAGGAGATGAACACCTAGTGAGGGCGAATAATCCACCTTCTGTATTGCGTCTCGCCAATAGCAGAAGGAACAAGACCTAGGTTTCTCCTCTTTCACAGGATTTTCTTCCTAATCCATTCCTTATTACAGTTCACCACACAGCCTTTGCTTGAATGAATCAAAAACTCCTAATGCCCTAGGGTAGTGCTTCCTGACTGGGCTGCTCATTGGACTCAGCTGGGGATCTGTAAGGTACATGGCCCCTTGGCCCCAATCCCAGACATGCTGGTGTCATTAATACGGGGTATACCCTGGCCACTAGGATTTTTTTAAACTCCTGAGGTGATTCTAATGCAAAGCAAAGTTTGGAAACTACTGCCTTGGGACTTTAGCAGAATTTAAACAAGTGATTTATCCTAGAAGAAGTTTCATTTGTTTCTAAACACCTCTCATGTAAACTTGTTTCGTTTTTAGACTCTAAAATTAAAGACAAAGGCTTAAAGTCCTGATTTGTGGGCTGGATATGGTGGCTCACACCTGTAATCCCAGCACTTTGGGAGGCCGAGGCGGGCAGATCACTAGGTCAGGAGATCAAGACCATCCTGGTTAACAGGGTGAAACTCCATCTCTACTAAAAATACAAAAAATTAGCCAGGCGTGGTGGCAGGTG